CATTGAGCACCTGAGCTGTGCTGGCAGACCCTGAAACAGCCTGCTCCTGTTTACCTCACTATGCAGGCACCTTGTTGATTCTTGAGGGCTTTCCTTAACATTCCCTTAGCACTGCCTAACAGAACTTAAAGATGTTTATATATAAATGTCAAAATGGTAATCAGTGATTCTGAAGCTTCTGTTACTGCCTGTCCTGTTACTGGAAGTGCAATTAAACCCTCCTGGTTTCATGTACTGTTATTATCTATTGCTTTTACTAGCAGGGCATTTTCTATCCCTTTATTTTTCATTGTCTTCTCAGTTCTATTCACTGGTTTATAATGGATAGGCTGGGATTTAGAGGCAAGGGCTTAAACATCAGGAAAAGACACTCTCGAATTTTCATTTGACAGCAGTTGTTCCTGAGAGAATAAGTTGATCTGTTAGAAAATTTAGATAGAGTGTTTTCCTTCTATAATTATTTACATTTTTAAAAGGGAAAAGCTGTACTATGCTTATTACCAAAATCAAGTCTGTTGGCCGCTAGGTAAAACCTCATATTCTCAAGAAACCACAGGAATAATCCGTGGCCAAAACAGCACCTTGAAAATGCCATTGGGCTAAACAGATAGACAAGCATAACAGATGCTACATTATAATTTTTCAAAGGATGTTATGATCGGAGCCAGAATCCGGAGATTTATACTAAGTAGCTAGGAACACAATTGTGTTCAAATAAATCCTAGATGTTGTTTATGTTCAGCATGGAATCCGCAGTATTCTAGGAAACAGTATTTCAGGGGGCAGAATAGTAAAAGGTCGAGTGGGAAAGAAAAGGCTGTGCATGTGGATAAAGGTTTCTTCTCATACAGTCAAATGCTTGGCTGCTGTCTTCAGGGGCAAAGGATGTTCTGAAGAGTGAATCAACTCGGATTTTCCTACACACTTCAAGAAAGTAATTTAGAAAACCGCAGAAATCCAAACATTCTTTCATTGGCTACTAAAATACCAAAAAAGAAATCAAGAGAAGTTTGTAGGACTTTTAGGAAGCTATTACTTGATCAGAATATTATTACAAATATATCAGAATATTTTTATCCTTGCTTAATGGGAATTCAACCCTTCATGCCATCCAGGAAAGCTACAGGTTAGTAACTAAACTAACCTAGTCTGTTGTCCCTAACGATTTTCTGCTGACAGCCAGCCATGGTGGCTCACGTCTGTAATCCCAGCACTTTGGGAGGCCGAGGCAGACAGAAAACCTGAGGTCAGGAGTTTGAGACCACTCTGGTCAATATGGTGAAACCCCATCACTACTAAAAATACAAAAATTAGCCAGGTGTGGTGGCAAGCACCTGTAATCCCAGCTACTCGGGAGGTTGAGGCAGGAGAATCACTTGAACCTGAGAGGCAGAGGTTGCAATGAGCTGAGATTGTGCCATTGCACTCCAGTATGGGTGACAGAATGAGACTCCATCTCAAAAAAAAAGAAGATTTTCTGCTAACCATAATTGAACTAAGGAACATTTGAGGGGTAACGAGTTTCCATATGGAATATACTAAAATTTGCTCCAATATCAGTTGCCCTCATGGGTTTCATTTACACAGCTCCTAAACAGGAGATTTAGATGACGTTTACTCCCCTGGAATGCTATGTATTCTTTTTTATTTTATTTTTTTAAAATAAATAGAGATGAGGTCTTACTATATTGGCCAAGCTTGTCTTGAACTCCTGAGCTCACGTGACCCTCCTGCCTTGGCCTCTCAAAGTGCTGGGATTGTAGGTGTGAGCCACTGCACTCAGCCAGTCACTCAGCTTTTGAGGGTTCATCATCAACTACACAAAGGGGAAAGGAGGAGCAGTGGAGGGTGGCACACCAGCGGCCACCTTTCCTCCTTCCCAGGCACGATACCTGTACAGGACGCAAAGACCCGTCAATAAAGTCAATGGGGATGCTTCAAACATCTTGCGGGGGTCACAAAAATTTTACCCAGTTTATTATCCCATGTTGACGTTAATTCCTGGCAAAGGGGTGGGGGGCTGTGGTTTTATGAAGCTGGTCTTGTGAAGCTGGGTGTAGGTGTGAGCATATGTGAGAACACAGCACTGTTTGCCATCATTTGAGCTGAAGCTGCTTTACAACACCACGCATTCTTTGGGGTTAAGGTGTTGAAAATGTCAGCTGAGTGACTTTCACCATCAGCTGCGCCCCTAACACTGTGTTGCACCCAGGCTTGGGAAGTATGCCTGCGGCCTGTTGTGCTGTCATCGCTTGTGGCTCTGAGTCCTTCCCACCTGTTGCTGTGTCCGTCAGTGTGGCAGAGACCGCCGACTGGCTGGAACATATGTGCTATTTCTGTGCATAGGATGTGGGTGAGTATATGCCACAGTTAGTCAGATCAGGATATGAGTCAGATCATATTATAAAGTGACACAAAGAACTGATCTTTAAAGCATTCTGGAAGCATTAATCCATGTGTCAACACTACTGTAAGGGAGCTACAGTTTCAAAGACACTTACGGTTACTAAGCAAAGGAGAGATGCTGCAAGACATGCGTGAACAGAGTTGGCTAAAGACCTATGAAGACAAATGCATATGGTGGAAGCCAACATTTAGAGGCAAAAAGAAAGATTTACCAGGACCACATATTTCTCCGGCATATTCAGTCAGAAATGGAGAAGTAGTGAAACATGGGCAGCTCAGAGGAGCTGTGGAACAGGGGCCTGCTTTATTTTCCTATTAAAACAAAACATACGATCCACAGAGCCGCCTTTCTGGGGTTAAATTAATGGTCCTAAACTGACTCTTTAAAAAATTTTGATTGGCACTGAGGCATAAAGATAAACATAAAAAGATGACTATATACAGTACTATTCGCAAGCATAAAAAACTATTAACGGTCATGATGTCCACAAATCAGCAAAATGAACTTTATTATGTCCCTCTACCGGAACCCAAGCAGCTATTAAAGGGAATGAAATAATCTGAATATACTGGCATGGAATGATATCGAAGATAGACTGTTATGAGGAAAAATCAAGTTGCAGAAAATGCGCATGGTAATCCCATTGCTGTTAGAAATGTGTTTGCATGTGCGCAAGAAAAAGTCTCTAAGAAGCAAGAGAAAACCATTAGTAACTTATCTGTCACGGTGAGTTTTTTTACATTTTTATTCATTGAATCCTTTGCAACAAATATCTATACTTTTATAATAGAAAATAAAGCCAACAAGATACTCATGAGAATAGCACTAACCTGTTTTGTCCTATAATTGCAAGGTTCTTGGAGGCCCAAGAAGGGTGGCCTTGATGGCGCTTGCTTAGCTGGGAAGTCCCTGACTGAAGCCGTGGAGGCACAGCAGGTGAGCCCTGGAGGCTCTCTGCGGGGGCCACGGAGAAGCAGAGGTACATTCCCAAAATGCCATGAGAAAGGGGGGCTTATTGGCCTTAGAATCCCTTTCTTTACCCTTTCTTTCCCTGTCACGGGGCCCTCGCTGGCCTGTACAACCTCACTTCTGCTTTGTGAGCTGTGGGGTGTTCACTGCCTGGTCGTGACCTGTGGCCATGACCCCACACAGGCTGCTGTTCAACCTTGGCATGCCCTGACTTCTCAACACAGTGCTACAAACTTGTTGTTCAAGGGGTTGTGAAGAGTTCTCAGCCAGAAGTGACAGCAGCAATGCATCTGCTCCAACTCCTCCCTCCCAGCAATCCGCCTTTGTTTCAAGGGCCTGGGAGAGGGAATTTCTTGACCTGTCTCTGGAACTGTGATGGCAGGAATCCCATCCTGACCCTCCCGGTCATGCATTTCCTCTCCATAAGTCAACTCTGTCCTCTGGTCTGCCCTGATGTCCCCTTCGTCCAGGCCCATCTGTTTTTTTTTTTTTTTTTTTTTGAGATGGAGTTTCACTCTTGTTGCCCAGACTGGAGTGCAGTGGTACAATCTTGGCTCACTGCAACCTCCGCCTCCCAGGTTCAAGTGATTATACTGCCTCAGCCTCACGAGTAGCTAGGATTACAGGTGCCCGCCACCACGCCCAGCTAATTTTTTGCACTTTTAGTAGAGACGGGGTTTCACTGTGTTGGCCAGGCTGGTCTGGAACTCCTGATGTCAGGTGATCTGCCCGCCTCGGCCTCCCAAAGCGTTGGGATTACAGGTGTGAGCCACTGTGCCCGGTCCTTTTTTTCTTTTTCCTTGAGATGGAGTCTTGTTCTGTCACCCAGGCTGGAGTGCAGTGGTGTGATCTCAGCTCACCACAGCCTCCACCTCCCAGGTTCAAGTGATTCGCGCGCCTCAGCCTCCCAAGTAGCTAGGACTATAGTTAGGACTACAGGTGTGTACCACCATGCCCGATTAATTTTTGTATTTTTAGTAGAGACGGGGTTTCACCTTGTTGGCCAGGCTGGTCTCGAACTCCTGACCTCAGCTGATCTACCTGCCTCGGCCTCCCAAAGTGCTGGGATTACAGGCATGAGTCACCACACCCAGCGGGCCCATCTGTTTTGACTACAAAGCACAGGCTTAGAAGCAGCTGTTGCCTCGGCCTTGCCTCATGGAAGCTGGAGAAACCCCATGTCCTCTTCTGCATAAGCAATTTCTATTCTTCACAGATCCCCTCCAAAGGCATCACAGTCTCTCTCCTCATCCCCAAGCTTCCCTTAGGTAATTCCTACTCCTTCAGATCACAGTTCCAATGCTGCTTCCTCTGGGAGCCTCTCTCAACGCCCCAAGGCCAAGTGAGGTCCCCTGACATCCCAATATCTCCCAGTGTTTATTCCAGTCCTCATCTACCGTTTACTCATGTGTAGCTTGACAAATGTCTTTCTCACAGAATATAAGCCCCTGGAGGGGCAGAATCTTTGATGCTATGACCTCCTGGTTGACTCTTGTGGCCCCTTCAGCTGCCCAACGGCTTTCCTGGAGGACAGACAGAATAAGGTGGGAACAGAAATCCTCTGCTCACAGCAGAAAGGGCCTCAGCCAGCACTTGGTGGGGAGGGGTGGGGACAGGCACTGACCTCGGCTGATGCGCTGCTTTTCCCCAGAAAGGATGCCGGGGCTGTCGATGATGCTGATGCTCTTCAGGACCTGATTTGGCAGCTGGGAGCACATGAATCTGGAAGAGACGGATCAAAGGAGGGGTCAGACACTGGGCATCACAGAGTGCTACCATGGGGGTCCTTGGCCTCCTTGGGCTTACTGACCTCTGTAAAGGAGGGCCCTGAAGGAGACTGACAGAAACTGAAGATGCCTAATAAAGCCATCTGTGAAGCAGGAGCTTGGAGGAGATTGACAGGGTCCACCCATGCCACAGAGAACAGATGCTGGTCCATGGGACAGGTATGGGAGGTGCACTGGCACCTGCTGCCACCTACCACCTGATGCCTTTCTGTTCATTTTGATTTTAGCCAACAGTTATTGAACACGTAGGTATCTGACAAATATCCTCTCATTTGATCCTTATATTGACTCCATGAGGTGAAGGAATTATCCTTAACCTAAGAGAGGTTAAATAATGCTTAGGGTCACTCAGAGTAGGGCCTTAAACCCAGGTCAGCCTGGCTCTAAAGCCATGAGCCTCACTTCTCCCGGTTCCATGCTGGTCTCTGCCCAAGCATCCTGGGCTTCTCCCCCTGGGAATCCCATGCCATCTTCAGGGTGCACTGCCACACTGACCTGGAGAGCCCCAAGCTGCCTGCACCTTCCCTAGCATGAAAGCTGGAGGGACTGGGGCCTGTTTCCCTGTCTGATGCCCCAGGACTTAGCATCCAGCCCGGTGTCCCCTATGGCTTTAAAAGGCCAGGAAGGGGTAGGCACCGGTGGCACCCCACACCCCCCAGGTGCTTAGGAGTCCTAGGGGAGCTGGAGAGTGGGTGAGGGGACCAGGCTGGGGGAAGCCCTGGCTGTGAACATCTTTAGGCCCCTCTCATTCCTCACTTGCCTGACACCATCTCCTCCTCCTGATCCTGGTCCCTCCTCCCTGTAGTCACTGCCCTTGCATCCACCCCATGGAAGCAGAGTGGGGAGAAAAGTCTAGCCTGTGGGTCAGCAGACACGGGTTCAAGTTCTGCCCAGCGTTTCCTGATAATCTGCTCTGCGACTCTGGATAAGGGCCTCCCTGTTCTGGGTCTCATGTTCCTCACATGAAAACGGAGGCTTCCCGACAGGGTCTGGTGATGCCCTTTTAGCTTTTAGACTGAGTAACACCATGAGTGGTGGTAGGAAGTGCTTTGTTGCTTCCACCCCGGGCACCAGGGCCTGGGCTGGACCTTCGTGAAACACTGCGTATGTTTAAGGCAGAAAGTGTAGAATGCCTCTCCTTTTCTTGTACTATGGATGGCTGACATCTGCATCTGTGTGGGCAGAAGCTAAGAGCCTCAATTCTTCCATGCGGTGGATGTGGTAGGGATTACTCAGAAAGTAAAAATGCTGGGAATGCAGGACAGGGAGGCCTGGCCAGCCTCCACGAAGCACATGTGGACCGCGCAGCCCTGGGTACAAGCGGCTGCCACTGACATTTCAAAATAACTTTCTTTGATGGGGCTCGGGACATGATTTTCACACAGTCTTTCCTACATTTTCAAATCGGCCCAGGATGATGCAGGAAAAGATATTAGGATCCTTTTGCAGGTGGAAAAGTTGAAACACAAAACAGTTGACATTCTGAGGCTGTGCTGCTAATGTGTGGCTGGCTGGAGACTGGAACCTACTATTTCTGATATCAGGAGGGTAGAACTCAACCCACAAAGTTAACCTCATCACATTAAAAAGAAAGGGTCAAGTTAGTGGAAGAGAGGCCCCCCCATTTCTGCTTGTCTCCAGACATTTGTGCACAGTCCCCTCCTGTACCCCAACCTTTCAATAAACCCCACCACCCAACACGGGGAGAGAATAAAGCACATGGGGCTCACCAAGCATTCTTTGTAAGTTCACAGAAAAAAACCCACCAGGCCATTATTCAATTCTCTAGAATTGGGGTAGGAACGGGGCTCTGGGCGCATCTATGGTGAACCTCATTTCTTGTCAGGAATGACTGTCTCTCAGTTCCCTCCCATCCTTTCCATCGGATGGCCTGAGACATCTGGCACAGTTGAACACATCACACCTGTGTGAAACAATTTTCTGCAAACTGTTCCCGTGGAATGGCTGATCTTTTCCCCAAACCACAAGCTCACACTCAATATCCATTTTTCCAAAACACCAACCCCCTAGATGCTGGGTGAGGCTAACAGAGGGGTTCAAAATTCGCACACTGGTCACTCTGTGTGTAAAGCGACAGCCTTTCCAGAGCTCCCAGTCGTCCTGACATGACAGTGGCGGCCAGCACAGGAGCCACAAAGCAAGCCACCGTGAGATGTGCTGACATCACCACATGGCACACAAGGGTGCAAAGTGAGGAGCCCAGGATGGCTGAAAAAGAGAGGATGAGGAGGAGGAGGGGGAGGGAGAGCTTTGGCTGGGGGCACCCCAAGAATGGGCGGCAGGGGTTTTATGTGCACAGCTGGATTCTTCTTCCTGAAAGACAGTGTCCAGGGTTGAGAGGCAGGCAAGAGAACAGGAAGGAGCATTGAGACGCTGTGCGCCACACTCATGCTGCAAGGTGGGAACTCCATACCAATGTGTTCCTGTGAAGTTATGCTAGCATCAGAAAAAATCCTAATACTGTTCTAGCAATTGTGCCTCACGCTTCTGCTCTGAGAAAGGCAGGCGCACGGCAGACTTACTTGTTTACATAAAAGCAGTGCCATGGTATTCGTAGCCCAGTAATGAAGAACTGGGGCTATGCGGTCAGCACTGCCAAGTTCATGTCCCAGCCCCAACACTTCGAAACCCTGGGACTTGGCAAGTTATGTCGTGTGACTCCTCTGCACCCAGTGTGCTCCCTTATAAGCAGAGGCTTACAGCCCTACCTGTAATGTATGGTAAGCCTGCAGTTAATGTGCCCAGAAAGTGCTCTGAACGGTGCCTGACACCCAGTAAGAGGGCCCTGGCCGGCCCGGCTTACTGAAATGTTTCCAAGCACAGATCTGCTATCTCAAGATGGATTTTCTACTCCTTCCTGGGGAGATTAACACAAGGAGGATCTGTGCCTTGCCTTCTACATTTCATGTAAAATATGCAGACATGTGCTGGTTCAACCCAGGAGCCTCACATGGCTTTCATGAGTGGCCCCCATCTGAGGATGATCTGATAAATGTTGTCTTCTGAAGTAAGAGAAGTGAGAGCAACTGAAAATTCTAGGCTGGCCCCCCCAACTGCACATGCTTTCCACATCTAAGGAAGGGCCAGGGGTAGTGGAGAGGGGGGATAAAGTAATGATTCAGGCTATGAGGTCTCAGGCAAGCTGCTAGGCGTCCTGCCACACAGTAAAAGGAGACAGTAAAGCCAGGTGTGGTGACTCTCGCCTGTAATCCCAGCACTTTGGAGGCTGAAGGGGGAGGATCTCTTGAACCCAGGAGTTCAAGACCAGCTTGGGCAACATAGTGAGACTTTGTCTCTACAAAAAATAAAATTGGCCCGGCATAGTGGCATGTGCCTATAGTCCCAGCTACTCATGAGGCTGAGGTGGGAGGATGGCTTGAGCCCAGGAGGTCAGAGCTGTGGTGAGCTGTGATGGTGCCAGTGCATTACAGCCTGTGCAACAGAGAGCTTCTGTCTCAGATGAATACATACAAACACACACACGTATCTACAGGAGGAGGGGGCAAGGTGATTACTTAAAATTTCCCCCAAACACTAAAACCCCAATTAAAAGATCAGCATTTTAAAAACTACACTTTTAGAAAAACCAGACAGCACCTTAATACTGATTTTGATTTCTCAATGAAACAGTAATATCTGTAGCAGTTATAATAAGAATAAAATAGCACAAACATTTCCTGATCTCTTTCTGGGTGTCAGGCACAGTTCAAAGTACTTCCCATGCACATGAACTCCAGCCTTACTGCAGCCTTACAGGTAGGGCTGGAGCCTCTGCTTTTAGAGGAGGAGACTGGGCACAGAGGAGACACATGCCATAACTTGCTGAGAAGTGATGGAGCTGGGATATGAACTTGGCAGTGCTGACTGCAGAGCCCAGGTTCTTCACTCCTGGCTACTACTGCCATGGCACACACTGGAACCACTGCTGCGTAGTGTATCATGCACAGGGCAATGTTCTAAAACAAAGAGGTGACGTGCCACAACCCTGGAACTCGCCCCCACAGGGGCTTCCTTGTATGGCTTACTCTCTACCTAGCAGTATGGAATGTCAGGGTGGAGAACAGAAGGTAGGAGATTTGGGCTCGAAACGTCTCCCTTACTCATTTACTCTGAGACCTTGACCTTACCCAGGTCTCTAAACCTCTCTGAGCGATTCTACCAGCCCTGTGGACCTCCAGGTTTGCCATTAGGTTCAAATAAATCTAAGCTTACAACGCAGAGAGTATAGAATTATTTCAAAGTACTTTGACCCCAGCCCACTTTATTGATGAGGGTAAACCAGAGAGATGATACAACCTCCTAAATTTGTACAGTAAATAGGACGCAGCCCACAAAAAGACTTTGACAATTGAACTGTAATCATTCTTATTACATGGTTCCACCACAAATGGCTGATCTTATCTTCCAGAGCCTAGGAGGAACCAGGAACAGAATTTCACATCCAGATTATAGCAAGGTCCCTGGGTACCCTATTAGATTGAAACTAATTACCATTTTTAAAGGTTAGAGATGGTTTAAGACTGGCAATTTTACATGATTCAACCTAAATATGTGCTTTTATAAATCCCTCCTGACTGCCACAGGGGAAAGCCCAGTGCAATGGCTCAGCCAGGAAGGTGTGCCCCAGCTCAGGGAGAAAGGCATTTCTGGAACATCAGGACCAGAAATGTACAGGCAGCTGCCAGTCAAGAACAATGGTTTAATGACCAGGGAACCACCACAAATCTTTTTTTATGTCATTATTTTTTTGGAGATGAGGTCTCTTGTTATGTTGCCCAGGTTGGTCTCAATCTCCTGGGCTCAAGCAATCAGCCTGCCTCGGCCTCGCAAAGTGCTGGGATTACAGGCGTGAGCCAGCCAGCAAATCTTGAGGCTAAAGATTAATGGGGAAAGCTTCAGCAAGTTTATTATAGA